GTTTGTTTTAATTCTTTATTTACTGTTCTATGTTTTAAGAAAAATAAGTTTAAAAACTTGTTTGTAAATAGTAATAATGTTTACACTGTATTTTACCGTGACTGTATTTTACAAAATACTATTCCACTAAAAAACAGAAAAAATAGGTCATTTTGTAAAAACTAAAGGCCAGTTTTATATTATTGGATATGGTATCATAAGTGCACATGTGCCGCATCATTGTAACTTCTGTATTGTTAGCCAAACCTGGCTGTAAGGTCAATATAATAAATATATATAAATGTCTAATGTTATAAGATTTAAGCTATTTAGACTAAACATACATGTTCTCGTGTTATAATCTGTAGTCATTCTAGAACGAAGAAAGCATAATATAAATATATTTCCTAATTTTTTTATGGTGGTTAAGAGGAAGTTCAGACCCCAGTTCAGTTCAAATTGACAGACCCCCCCTTAGAGTTATGGTAGAGAAAATAACAGAAAAAATATAAATTTTTACTGAAAACAAACATTCTTTAAATGTATTTAGGAGGTTTTAGAGATTACACAAATAATATTTGAGATTTTTTGGGACAAACAATAGTTTTTTAGTTTTAACATGAAAATTGCTTCGCACTTGGACAGGTAAGGAAAGACTGTAATAAAAATACTTCATTAAAAAATCTGATTTTTTGTGTACGAAAGACTTGTAATCTTTACTAAAAGTCTACTAAATTTTGTGAAGATACTCTTACTACATTAAAAATTATAGTATAAATACTTAATTTGTGCAAATGTGTATATGGACTCATGTACATTATACCTAGCCCATCGTGAAAGGGTTAAATCATGTTAAGCATGATAAGTTCTGATGAATGCTAAGCACTCAACATGAGAAGAGTTAACCTGACTGTCAAAGCTTCTCCATTTCCTCATTAATCTCTTAAGGTTACTTATAAAGAATCAAAGCACCTGTTGGACACGTCAACTTTTTAGAATAATAGTGTATTAATTACATGTACTTGAGAGTTCAGATATATATACACAAGACAAAAGATAAATTATTACAAAATGCATTAACAACTGCTGTCATAGTTTCATATCATACCAGCAACATAACCTTATGGCAGAAGCATATCAATACTGGACATAACCACCATATCACTCACCATTATTACTAAATGATGACCACTGTTTCAAACAAGTAGTATTGTATTTCAAAACAACATTTAACTTGTACTGTAACACAAATCCAAATGAAATACTGAATTAATATACAGGAAAATCAGTTTTTAGTTTTAATGTTCAAAAAGTACAAAAATTCTTACCCATACTTTCTACACATGTAGGCTACAACTTGTAGCAAATCAATACAATGTGTCAGCATACAAAAACACAATAAGATACACCACAACAGTGCTAAGTCAGATATTACTATATTTTCCTAACACATTAGAAGCATAATAGTTGAGAACAAGAACTCAGATGGAGGTACCTTTTCTTAAAGTTGGGTGATCTAAAACCCATTTTAGACAATATTTAAAGAAAAATCTACACCCTTTGTTTTAAAAAATTCACCAAATGACCAATCCCATGTTAAAAATAATTGTTGAAATAGCTGACTCCATTTTAGAAAATCATACTTATCAATCCCTCTTGATAAGTATATGAATGAAAAGGGTTTTATTATTATTTTTTACTCGTTTTAATTTAGTTTTGAGGATGGAACAACCAAGATGGACCAACAGGTATCATGTTGTCCCAAAATATTACGTTCTGTTAAATAAATCATTTCAAAAAAATCTTTGGCTTTATATACCTTTGACTTTATACAGACCCACAAGTGTTAAGTTTTATTTTTTCAATAAATTAGATTTATTTCAAACTTGTTCACAGGGGTCAAAAAGAAAGAAGTCTAGGAAATAAAAAAATTCATTTGTTTAACATACACATGCATTCAAATGTAACAATTCCACTAATTATTATGAGTGCTAAAGTGAACTTATGAAAGATGAGTTGAAAAGTCATTCTTTGAGCTTGTGGACCTCCCACCCACATCTTTAGACAACATTAATTTCAGAACAATTTTTCTTAATGCTAATATTATTCCTAAATTTTCTTTATTAGTTGGAGAGCACAGTCTACTCAGATGCTATCTTTAATCCTTTCAAAACTTTCGAATTATGATTTTGCTGCTTTACTTTCAAACTTTTTTTTTCTTTCATGTTCTCGTAACATCTGCTTTTATGAGTACAAAGAGAAATAAATGTTGTTTTAGCACTGACAGCAGTTATAATGTGGTTATTAAAACAGTTCCTTCATTAGTTATGTATGCATATCAACAAATAAAACTTTGTTCTAATACTAGTAATAGCTACAATGTGTTAATACATTAATTCCTTTGTTAGTAACGTACACATACCTATAGGTATAAGTTAGTGATAAATCGTAGTGCAGTTGGTCTGGAATTCCTTTGCTAGCTCTTTACACCTCTCTCAATTTTATTTTATGCCCACTTTTTAGTAAATGTAAAAAAGACATCTTTAGCTAGACTTTTAACCTCTTAAAAAATCCATACTGTCAATTTAAAATTAAGAAAAAAACTAAACAAATATATCAGTTGCCTGTAGCCTAAACCCAATAATACCCACAACAATCAAGTATCTAAACAGTGTTACAAAATTAAGTTGTAAGTTTTATAGAATGGTTAATTTTCAAATATTATGAATTAAACAACCACTAAGATTACAGAAATGATTTCCTTGAAAATTAGAGAATATTCATTTTTTTTATATTGTAAATATTTCTCCCCTTAAGCTCTACTGATATAAACTTTATTTTGCCTGTTGTGCTCATGGAACTTCCTTTTTATATTACAGAAAATAGGCACAAGTTACCAGTTTTTGACCATTGGGAGTGAAATAATATACGTCAGCCAAATTTCTTTTCCTGGACTGATTACGCTCCACAGTTGCTCTGAAGACAATTTCTCGTTTCCACCCTGTAAAAAAGTGGGAGGGGATCAAACCTTTTAATCAAATAACATCTCTTATACCACATAAACACAAAATAATCTTCTAGAGTTTTCAAAAATATTAATGCAATAAACAAATTTCATATGTTTTTCAATACAACAGTTAATTAGTAAGAAACACCTTTTTAAGAAAAAAAAAGTTTTGAGAAACATCTCCAAAATGATTTATTGAACTTTTTTTTAGGAATGGGTGGGAAGTGTTTCTGAGATTATATCATTTGTAGATCAGAATACGATAAGAATGTAATAAGAACATTTTTAATGTGCATTTTGGTCACGAAGATACCATCCTCCAAAAATCAGACCTCTACCAAAATGGTTATCACTTTTTCATAGCAATATCCATGACCAGAAGGCACTAGATAGATAAGTAAATGTAGATCAGAGTATACATGAATGTAACATCAACTGTTTGTTGATAACTACAAAACTACACAATTGCCTTTCTGTGCTTTTCCTAACCTGAGTATTAAAACCCAATTTTTAACATGATAAACCCTCAGACTTACTGCGGAACCACCGAGAGGCAGACTGTAGCAAGGTATTATTTGTTGTTTTGAGTTAAAAACATACTTATTTACGTTAATGTAAGCAAAACTAAATATTTTGTTTTATAGCAAAATATCGGGTGGGTGACTAGAAGAATACTGTAACAGAGAAAGTATTGATAAGATAAACATATGTACTAGACCTCTACAGTAGCAAATATACCAATTGTCTCATATACAATAAGGCATTTGATCAAATTTGCTGCTAGTCTGTGAGAAAGGCTCATCATATAAGAAAGGTATGTTTCAATTAAATGATATGCCAAAGGTTTCCAACAGTCAAGTACAGCATTCTTGTATACTGTGGTTACACGTCGACATCTAACCCTTGGGTTTATAAAGCAGTGGCATCATTACTAGAGCAAACTTCCAAGTTTGTATCCTTATCACTGGTCCCAGTCTTATTTTGTACTATATCACTGGCAGACCTTTCCATTCCACACTGCACTGTTCTTAATCCTTCTGTTTTGTTGTATAGTGCTATTCTATCCATTTTTCAAGGAATATTGCTACTGCTTAGCATTTAGTTAGCTCTTCATCTCAGAAACTGATGGAAGTTATGTAATTATGTGGGTCATCTAACACTAGTTGCATGAGTATCTGCTATGCTGAAGTTTCATGGGATGCATCAAAACCTCACCATGACCAAAAAAAATACACTGATTTCCTCTTTATAAAGACTAATACTTTTTACATCATACTGAGCACAACATTCTATTTGCCTATTACATCTAAATACAAACTTGCCTGTATCTATAAAATTTTAGTTACAATAGCCAAATCAATCTCCCTACTTGATTTACCCCTTAGGGAGCTGGTAGTATGCATTTAACACATTAATGGTCCTGGGGTTCTGTATTGCTTGTATTTACTTAAGCATGCCTTTAACCCTTTATCTTCTATGGCCGTTTTAATTTTATCTGAGGGCAAAATCACATTTGTGAATTGAAAAAATTATAGAGAACTTATCTTTTATTTGATATCAGATTTTATTTTTTTAAATAGTAGCATAACATTCAATTAGTTGTACAAAATTGTATTATTTAATGAAGTTTAAAGAGGAATTTAATGAAAAAAACCTAAAATACGTTTTAGACTAAATAGGCACCCTCTAAGAAGAAAAGTTTTTTCAAAATTTTTTTAAAATATTTCCTTCCACTTCAGCACTGGTCCTGTTATCTATGATTGGTATCTAAACCTTTTTCTAGTCTATTTTCTTTATAAAACAGCATCTGGGCGTGTTAAACCTAAGTTGTAAAACTTTTAGCCAATCCTAGTCGAAGATGTCATTTTCAG